TTACAGGGCGTCCGCGCGTTGTTGTTGTTGTTGTTGTTGTTGTTGTTGTTGTTGTTGTTGTTGTTGGTGCTGTTGTTGTTGGTGCTGTTGTTGTTGGTGCTGTTGTTGTTGCTGCTGCTGCTGCTGCTGCTGCTGCTGCTGCTTGCATTGGCACTGTTCCGATGGTCTGGGAGCTGGCTACCCGGATGGATGAGCCCTAGCAAGCCACCGGCTTGAGAACTTCAGTTCCAGGATTCAACATCATATAGAAGCCAGGATGCTTACTAATATTTGTCTTCTGAGCTCCTTATACTACACACCGAAGCCCTATTATGATTATGAATCTACCTACAAGAAGTAATTCCTTCAGCTTCTTCACGCTCCATGGAACCTCTTAATCAGGGCACGGCCTTCAGCATTTAGCATTACCTGGACCCTGAAAGACCTTTATTTACACGGGAATCATCGTATGGAATTTGAAACGGTAGGCGGTTTAGGGCTCAGGGTAGCAGAACGGTCCAGGAGTCGGGGGAGGAGGAGGAGGCGGAGGAGGAGGAGGAGGCACTAGACCCGATGTTTGGTAGTGTGGAGGAGATGTAGAGCTAGTAGAGTAGGTACAGCATCACGAAGCCCAAACTGGGATTAGTCCTAACTTCTAGCGGTACTTATACTGCATACTTCTCAAGTTCCCGTTTACCAATACCAAATCATTCACCGATGCAAGCCTCAAGCTCCTTTAACCTCAACACCCCAAATTCTTGAGCCTTGCACCCTGTGACCCCCAACCCCCAGACACCCCAAACCTCTGCAGTAGCCGTATAGACCGGGTTTAGGCGTTTGGGGTTTTAGGGTTTGGGGTTCAGGAACCCTTGACGGAACACGTCATAGTGCCCTCTACGGAAAGCCCTCAGAGCTATCCCTACTTGGAGGTTCATGGGTAGGTATAAGTGGGGTTATAAGCCCCCTGATATGGGTTATAACTCTAGTTACCTTACTTATAACCCCACTTATAACTACCCATGAACCTCCAAATAAATCCCGAACCCTCAACTCCTAAACCCAAAACCCTAAACCCAAACCCTAAACCCTAAACCTCAAAGTAAGGGATCCCGCATGGTGCCCTCTATCGGGCCTTAGGTTTAGGGTTTAGGGTTTAGGGTTTAGGGTTTAGGCTGCCTAAAAGACCAGCCAAGGAGCCCTGGGACGTGGCCGGAAATCCGGAGCTCTCAATCGCCATGGCAGCTTTCGTTCTCTTTGCGGCTTGAAGTAACGATAGCTTAGTTCTAGTTTAGGGTTTAGGGTTTAGGGTTTAGGGTTTAGGGACCCAGAGGGTCCGAGTACCCAAATAGTAAGGTTTTAGGTCCCAAAAGCCATACTCTGAATGGTTTTTGGACCTTGAAACCCTACTGTTTGGGTACTCGGACCCTCTGGGTTAGTTCTCCAATAGCCCAGCATATAACCTTAGTTCTCCACTAGCCAACCTTTAAACCTTTTGGGTTCTTATAGTTTAATAGTAACCCGAAAGTTTAACCTTTAATTAATTTCCCTGGATTTTTTGGGAAGTAAGTAAGTCTTGAGATTCTTATAGTTATAACTTAGTAGTCATCTGAAGTTTAACCTCCAATTTCCCTGGCTTCTTGGGGAAGTAAGGCAATAGCGAAACGCAGAGCCTTTTCCTACCCCCTTCCCTTAAACTCTTAACCCCCAAACTCTTCTAGAAAGATTGTAGCCCGCGAACAGGGAATCAAGACACCATGAATAATCCCTACCCATAGGCCCCATAGTAGTTCCTTTTTGTGGCTTATATTTAGGATCCTATTCGGGAATCCCCAAAAGGAACTACTATGGGGCCTATGGGTAAACCCTAAGCCCTAAACCATCTCTTCGACAACCTACCTCAATGCAGACGAAGAGAGGCTCAGTTCGGTTCATGGCGGGTGGCACACACAGGTATCGACCCAGTCGTAAGACTTCTCTGCGAGGAGAAAAGGTCCGGTTAAAAAAAAAAACCATCTCTTCGACCTCGTAAATCTGTACTTGGAGGTTTATGGGTAGTTATAAGTGGGGTTATAAGCCCCCTAATATGGGTTATAACTATAGCTACCTTACTTATAACCCCACTTATAACTACCCATGTACCTCCAAGTAAATCCCGAAGCCTCTTCATCCCCGAACCCTACGCGCTCCTTCGTCCCCAAAGCCCCCAAACCCCAAAGCCCCCCCATCCTCAAAACCCCAAAGCCACCAAAACACAAAGCCCTCAACCCGAACCCACAAAAGCCCCCCAACCCCTCAAAAAACACCAAACCCTAAACCCTAAACCCCAAATCCCAAACCCTGAACCCTGCAACCCTAAACCCTAAACCCCAAATCCCAAAGCCTGAACCCCGCAACCCGAGATCCCCAAACCACTTCCGAGGTCTTTGGCCTCTTTTCCGCGACATCGGGCAAACCACGAAGGCTCCACCACTAAACCCTAAACCCTAAACCCTAAACCCTAAACCCTAAACCCTAAACCCTAAACCCTAAACCCTAAGCCCTAAACCCTAAGCCCTAAACCGTAAGCCCTAAACCCTAAGCCCAGAGCCTAGGGCTGGTAATATAGGGGCGGTATTAATTGCCTTTAGGGTTTAGGGTTTAGGGATCACCTATAATAATATTTTGTGGGTTCCTTACCCTATTCTAATTCTTATGGCCTCTATATTACTTCGGGGTTTGAGGATTTGGGGCTTTTTGGGTTGTGGGTTGAAGGTTTTTGGGTTTAGGGTTGAGGGCTTCAGGGTGTTTTGGGGTTTAGGGTTGAGGATTTTGGGCTTTAGGGTTGAGGGATTTGGTGGGTTATATGTATGTGTGTATATTATGTGTGTATATATATATATGTATATATATATATATATATATGTATACATATGTGTGCTTCTATATATATATATATATATATATACAGCCCTCCTTGAACCCCAGCCCCTCCCTTCTTGATCCCGTAAAGAGAGGCGGGTTGCCTTCATCTCGCTGTTGGCCGTGATCTCCTCGCCGGGCGTGTCCGCTCTCACGGGCAAGGCAGCGTCGTTGTAGGGTTTCGGGTTTAGAGTTTAGGGTCTAGGGACGCTACAAAATCCCTTGATTAAGGAATCTGCCTTTAAAGATTATAGATATTGGAGTCTCTGTGTTTACTGGGGATCTATGAGGGTTGTCTAAGCTTTTTTAATTAGTGGGAGTTGTTATGACGGTTTTTGGAGCGGTTTAAATCTTGAGCCATAAGCGAATTCCCCCGCAGCAGGTGGTCTTGTATGGGCCGTGGGCAATGTTCTCCGGCGACTTGGACGAAGCTCCATTGCAGGGGCTTGGGCGGCTTCAAGACCCTAAACCCTAAACCCTAAACAAGACAAAAGCACCCCGAAGCCCGTAACCCTGACCCGACCCCTATATCCTCAAACCCAAATGACCCCAAATCGCCAACCCCAGGAACAGCTCCAGTTTGAGTAGTCCCCGTACCGCAGCTGAAGCAAAGGCGGACAGGCTCCAAACCTGCAGAAAGTTGCGCTTTGACCCAGCCCTGAACTCCCAAACCGGGCTGTTCAGGGTGTGGGATCACGTCTGAAGCTAAAGCCTAAACACACCAAGCTCTGAAGTTTTATATAAATCTGAGGGCTTGCTTCCCTAACGTAGGTGTCCACCTTTTGGTCCCTACAGCAAGTTCAAGTCAACATACCCTGTTCAGCTTAAACCCTAAACCCCACTGCCGAAGGCGACTAAAGATTAGGCCCGATTCAATTCCTCAGTAGTAGAGTTTGCATCCTGGAACCCCGTGGGGGTACCACGTTTGATGATATCCTGCATTACCCATGACAAGGAATATACCACAACTCCCACAGTCTAGGGTCCTTAGAGCAATGCAGGATTTATATCATCAACGTTATAACTCCTGTATATATGAAGCCCAAGGGTAATCCTTGAGTTCCCGCTGGATACTGAAGGGCTCCGGGCACTCGGTAAGTAATGGCTCCTTACTATGATTATAGTATAATGGCCCCCTCAAAACCCTGTTCTGATTATTAAGGCCCCTACATTAGGGTTGCAATTGGGGGGTATAAGTTCCGTAAGTGGGGTTATCCTAACTACTTAGTTCTCCAATTAGCAAACTTTTAAACTTTTCTTCAGGCTCTTATGATTCAGTAGTAATCTGAAAAAATAACCTTTAATTTCCCTGGCTTCTTGGGGAAGTAAGAAAGATAACCTTACTTTCTAAGTCGCCCCTAAACCCTAAACCCCTAAACCCCTAAACCCCTAAACCCCTAAACCCTAAAACCTACACCCTAAACCCCAAAACCCTAAACCCTAATCCCCTAATCCATAAACCCTTTAGACCCTAATCCCTAAACCTCTAAACCAGTACTGGACAAGTAAGATCCGGTTTTCCCCGGCGAGGTACTCACGAGGGGCATCGCCTTTCCGTTGCAGGCGCTCTCGAAGAGATACCCTACCTTGAGCTCATGAGCATAATCCCTAAACCCTAAACCCTAAACCCTAAACCCTAAACCCTAAACCCTATACTCTACCTTGAGGATCCTTGAGGTCATAAGCATAATGATGTTCCAACTTTCTGGCTTCTACTCTAAGGTCCCGATTAGTAGGGTTTAGAGTTTAGGGTTTAGGGTTTAGGGTTTAGGGTTATGGTCTTCGTGTTCTTCTGTGGCCTGCGAGGGCTGAGGGTTTGGGGCTTAGGCTTTCGGGTTTAGGGTGTAGGGNNGGTTTAGGGTTTAGGGCTTTAGGCCGCCCTCCCCACCGTGAAATTTCATAGAATCGATGGGATTCGGGAAACCCCCAAGAGACCGAAGGATTCCGAAACCGCTGAGAGAGAGATTGCTCAGACCCTTGGGAGGAGTAGCGTATAGAGGATCGCATCGAAAACTTAGCATAGTAGCACCCCTCCTATAATCTACACCAAAGCATCTTCTAATGATTGCTGCCCTGTTTCAGAAACTCCCCC